TTGTTATTTGGTAATTAAATTATAGGCTATAGCTTGTTTTCAAAACTGAAATCAGATTGGACAGTACAATTGGATTTTGGTGGACCAAACTCTGGGTCAATCTCGATGATTTAAACCGTTCAATGTATAGAGTTCGTCAAGTATATTATTCTTATAAAAAATCACATTGATCGAATATCGATAGCTATTTGGTGAGTTTACATTTGTTTCAAAGTTAACTATAATTTTAAAAATAAATTGCAGATACAAATGTAATTGAATCAAGTAGTTATCGATATCTGATCAACATGATTTTTTGCAAACATAATGTACTTTACGAACTCTACATATTGAACGGTTTGAATTATTGATACGAGTTTGGTATTGGGCCACCAAGACCCAACAATACTATTCAATTCCAAAATAGATTGGAGAAAAGCTATGTCCTAAATTTTATGCTCGAAAATTATAACTCCTCGACCACACATTCACGCGAACTTACATTACTTCAAAATGGCAATTTTTTTTTAGCTCATTCATATTTATACGCTGATGATTTTTTTTTTAGAAGTTATTATTATTATAATTGAAATCAATCTTAATGGTTTTTTTTTTTTTTTTTTTTTGCATCTAGATAATGTTTTACCCAATTTTGAGTTAAATAAATTGTTGGTCTCCCAAAATGCGCGTTTTGTTTTATTTTGACACTTGAGATTTTAATTGAATTATTTTGATGCTTGATCACTAATGTTGTTTCCATCCAATTTTCCATCTAAGCTGTCTAAATTTGAACAAAAATAACTTTATTTACTCCTGTTTTTGTTATAAAATTAAAACTGACATGACATTGTGAACCCATTTAAAAACCAATTTTAACATATTTTTCAATTTATATAGCATTACTAATCATGTATTCGTTAGAAAGAATACCAATACCCACTGTAGTTTTACGTGGAATGACATGTTATTTATTTAGAAACATTATTAAAAAAAAACTCAAAAAATTTGAAATAAACTTTGAGTTTTAATTTTGTCAATTTAAATTTAAAATTTTTAATTTAATTTTTAAGATAAATTTGATGAATAAGCTATTTTAGATATTTTTTGTATACCTAAATTGAATATAATGACTACAATATTTTTTTTTTTGTCAGTTTTACCTAATGAAAAAAGCAAATGATTTACATTGAAAATAAATTAAAATATTAAGGTTTAAATTGACAAAATTAAAAATTCTGGATTTATTTGTTATAGGGCTCAAACTCTAAGAAATTTTTTTTTCCGTATAATTTTCCCTATTTATTTTTAATGCATAACCAACCTATTTTGGTTTCAAAATTGAATATATCTTTCTTCATATTCATTTGTACTCAATTATTTATTTTAATTTACATCATACATTTAAATTTTAAAAATAATTTTACATGAAAATTCTAAGTACTTAGTTTTTCTCTATACTGCTAATGTTATAAATTTAAACTGATACACATTAGGAACCGTTTAAACACAATAGTAATATTTTTTAAACATATTTTTCAGTTTCTTTAGCATTACTAATCATATCTTCTTTGGAGACAAGACCAAAACCCAATGTACTTTAATGAAGAATGTCATGCCAGGTTATTTATTTTTAAGATAAATTACAAATACACATCTTGAGATTTTATTAAAATATAAATTGCCCTTTATAATTTAAAAAATTACGAATACCCCTATGTCATAATTTTTTATTTAACAAAATTAACTGAAAAAATGAAATCCATAATTGTTCTCATATACAATAATAAAATTACCTAAATTATTAATTGAAACATATTTCTAACATCATTAAAAAACTGTTATTTGACTTGATAATTTATTATTAAAATGGGCGATTTGTTATGAAATTAAAAATTTCGAGAGTGAAATGCAATTTCCAAAACCACAGAGAGCGATTCGTATTTTAATCAAACGTCATAGGTATACTTGTAATTTACCCTTATTTTTAGAGCATAATTTACTTGTTTTGGTTTCAAATTTGAATATATTTGCTCATATTCACTTGTACTCAAATTTTTTATTCAGAAAATTATTCAAAATTTAACATATGTAGATAAGATTCATTTTAACTCATACTACACATTCAATTTAAATTTGCATCATATATTTGTCTTAAAAAACAAACATTTTTTGAACTAAGTTATTTTGTTCATAAAAGTATATTTATTAGTTAATGGCTGAAAAAAACCAAAAGTAGTGGAGTGATTATCAAGCTCAACCTTGAGAAGGCTTTTGATTCTGTAAACTGGTGCTTCTTATTATCTATGCTTTCAAACTTTGGGTTTGGAATAAAGTGGATCAGTTGGATAAAAGAATGTATTACCTCTGCAAAACTCTCTGTGTTAGTTAATGGCTCTCCAACTGAGGAGTTTTCTCCTCAAAAGGGTCTCAGACGAGGCGACCCTCTGTCACCCTTCCTTTTCAATATCACAGCTGAGGGCCTTAATATAATTTTGTCAAGAGCTCAGCAAATTGGTCTGATTAAGGGGGTGAAGGTTGGCTCAAGCGGGGTTTTGGTTTCTCATTTGCAATTTGCAGATGATTCCATCTTATTCTGTGAAGCTGAGGAGATGGAGGTGTGCAATATTAAGAGAATCCTAAGGTGCTTTGAATTGATTTCAGGGCTGAAAATACATTACCATAAAAGCCAGGTGTGTGGAATTAATGTACCTTAGGAGTCTTTATCCTATTTTGCCAGAGAGTTACATTGCAAAACCAAAGCATTTCCCATAAAGTATTTAGGGTTGCCTTTGGGGGCTAATCCAAATAAAAAGGCAATTTGGAAGCCAGTTCTTGACAAAGTCAGAGCCAGATTAGCAGGCTGGAAAAGGAAACTGCTTTCATTCTCTAGGAGACTCACTCTTTTAATGTCTGTCACTTCTGCATTGCCATTATACTATCTATCTCTTTTCAAAATGCCTGTAGGAGTGGCGAGAGTTTTTGAACAGCTGCAGGCTTCCTTCCTTTGGGGAGGGTCCGCGTCAAGAAAACCAATCCACATGGTTAGATGGGATGAAGTAACAAAGAGTGTCAAGCAGGGAGGGTTAGGCATTAAGAGAGTTAGGTTGGTTAATGATTGTATGCTTCTAAAGTGGTGGTGGAGGTTTGGTAAAGAAAAAGACATTTTGTGGAAAAAGATTATCTGCAGCAAATATAACCTCGATGTTAAAAGCTGGTACCCCTCTTCTACCCCCAGCAGCAAGCACTCATGTGTGTGGAAAGGAATCATCTCCTTACCTAAGAGGAGAAGCAACCTGCTAATGTTTTACTCTTGAAATGTTCAGGTTAAGGTAGGGGATGGTCGAAGTACTAACTTCTGGAAGGACAAATGGTGTAACAATTTATGTTTAAAAGATGAATTTCCCATTCTGTTCAGATTGGTGTTGGAAAAGGATGAAACCCTCAGATCAATGTATGACAGGAAGCTTGCCTCAGGGGACTGGAATTTTAACTTGAGGAGAAGATTGTTCGAGTGGGAAGATAGGGAAGTTAGTAGACTCAAAGTGATGTTGCAGTCTGTCACTAGCCTAGGCGATGATCAGGCGGATAATCTTTTCTGGCTGGCTGCAGGTTCTGGGCAGTTTTCTATCTCCTCTGCTTACCAAAGTGAAGTCGTTTCCCTTGATCATCTCCTTAGTACTTGGAAGTTGGTTTGGAACAAACTTGCTCCTCCAAAGGTTCAATTTTTCTGTTGGTTAGGTTGGAAAAACAGAGCCAAAACAATAGATTTTCTGCAGAAAATTGGTGTGCATCAGGCTAATGTTCCAGCCCTCTGTGTTTTCTGTAAAGCTGAGAATGAAACTTTATGCCATGTACTGTTGCACTGCAATTTTGTTTGGAAGGTTTAGGTTGCAATGTTGAATTGGTGGGAGATTCAAGGGGCTTTACCAGGTTCTGTAGAAGCTGCATTACATTGGTGGGATTGGCATAATCTGAACAAAAAGGAAAAGATGCTTTGGAAGGTTACTTCTCTGGCAATTTTTTGGTCTCTATGGAAGGCTAGGAATGAGTGCATTTTCCAATCTATTACTACTAAGTTGGAGGACTTTGAAACTTTATGCCATGTACTGTTGCACTGCAATTTTGTTTGGAAGGTTTAGGCTGCAATGTTGAATTGGTGGGAGATTCAAGGGGCTTTACCAGGTTCTGTAGAAGCTGCATTACATTGGTGGGATTGGCATAATCTGAACAAAAAGGAAAAGATGCTTTGGAAAGTTACTCCTCTGGCAATTTTTTGGTCTCTATGGAAGGCTAGGAATGAGTGCATTTTCCAATCTATTACTACTTAGTTGGAGGACTTGTGTGACTTGATTAAGATTAGAGTTGCACTTTGGCTAAATCACAAATTCAAGGATTCCCATTTCATAATTCACGACTACTTGTTCAACTTTAGACAAATCAGAGGCAGTTTGGGGAGTACACTGGTCCTGGGTTGTTGCTGAGGCTCCTCTGCTGCTACTCTGCTGCTGGTTCGAGGCAGCTGTTGCTGAGGTACTGGGCTGAAGTTCCTTCTGTCATTTGCTGAGGTCCTGGGCTGAGGTTTGGGGCTGAGGTTCTGAACCTCCCAAGTTGTTGCTGTAGTTCCTATCTAGTTACTGTTCCTTTGCCTTCTCCTATGCTTTTGCTTTTTGTGTTGGTGTCTCACCAACTTGGGACTTGTCTCTCTGCCTCCCCTCTTTCTTTATTGATGATTGTCATTGTATCTTTGCATGATCATTATCAATAAATTTTCCTTCTTCGCTACTTCAAAAATAAAAAAAAAAAGTATATTTATTAGCGACATTTTCAAAATTTTATTCCTAAAAAATCATTTTTTAATTTTTCCAAATGATCTTTTAGCAACTGTCCTTGCGACAACTAAAATTAGTTCCTAAATATTTTTTGCAACAAAATTTATAATTTTTAAAATAAAATAACTTGATTTCTAAAACTCTTATATATTGTAGTGACCTAATTAGACTTTAATATTTATGTTGTTCTAGTGGGCTGACGTGTTGAAAGCATGTCTAAAAGAGGCAAAATGGTATCATAGTGGGTACAAGCCAACATTGGGGGAGTATCTTGACAATGCAGTGGTTTCCATAGGAGCACCTCTCGCGCTCTTCACAAGTTATTTCTTAACCACTGAAAATATTAATGAGGAGGCTTTACATTACATAGACAAGCTACCCAGTATCATGCGTTGCTCCTCTATGCTTGTTCGACTCACTAATGATTTGGGAACCTCCTCGGTATGTTTTATTTAATTGAGGGCTATTATATATCACCAGATAGGTTAGTGGTTTTTTATTTCTAAAATTTTTATTATAACAGATGCTTCAATTGGTCTTTAACCATACATTGTTACATGAATCTGCAAACACCTTACAACCACAATTGTATGGCTAAGAGTGCATTTTGGGATAGATAACAAAGAATCCCGTATCACATAAGATGTGTTTCACCGTTAATTTTGTTTCTTACTTGAATCCATACAATAAATGTCATGTGTATATAGAGTCAAACATATCTAGAATAGATGAGAGTTTCTATATATTACTTCATGAATATCATTTTCCTATTTAATTTTATTTGTACCAAGAAAATCATCACAAACAGGAAAAGAGATCAAAGCATCAATAATGCTAAGTGCACAAAAATGGAACACAAAAAATGCATAGAAAGTGTATTGTGTGATTGAGATATTTTTTCAAGTGTGACCCACATCACATTCAAGATGAATCTCAACTATACAATATACATTGTGTTAGCATTATTGCCATGCATAACGATTAATTTAGAATACTTTTTATGGTGTAGGATGAATTGGCAAGAGGAGATAATCTCAAGGCAGTCCAGTGCTACATGAATGAAACTGGAGCTTCTGAAGAAGTTGCTCGAGATTACATAAACAATTTGGTTCATGAGACATGGAAGACTATGAACAAAGGCATGTTTGAAAGCTATCCCTTCTCTGAACCATTTTTGAGTGCTAATCCAAATCTTGGCCGAACAGCTCAATGCTTTTACCAGTATGGAGATGGGCATGGCATTCCACACAACTGGACCAAGGACCATCTCATTTCATTATTGGTCCAACCCATTCCTCTCAAGTAATGGGTCTTGGACTAAATGCATGCTTTGGCTCAAGGATTGAATGCCAATCCTTTGAATATCTTTCCTTGTGTGTGTTTATGTGCAAGAAGTTATTTGGTGGTATTGAGCCCCCAACTCCTTTGGATGTCACATAATCATGTGGGGTTTGCTCTTAAATGTAAGCAGTTTATGTGATTGTGTGATTTCTAAAATGTTGAATAATGTTGCAAGAACACTGTTGCTTGCTAGACTATAAGTTATCTGAATTCTTTTGAGAATAATCTCCAATCCGACATTGTGTTTGGTGGACATGCTTAGTTAGCTTGTGTTTTATACCATTATTTGTTGGGTTTTTCTTGTTGAAAAGGTGTTTTCCGATTATTCAAGTGATAAAATAAAATTAGTGTGGGATTTATATTAATTTATTTTGCTTATTTTTCCCTCTAAATGATGATACGATAATACTTATAAACAAATCAATTCTTGTTTAGTAGATCTCGATGAGAATATTTTGGAAATATAATATTTATTTTTAATTGTAACAGTCAACCCTTTCCACTTTAAGTCAAGTTTTTTTGATCAGCAAATCAAGAAACTTTATTGATGAGAAAGCCATACATAACATATAAATTACATCAATAAAGAGGAGGCAAGAACACAAACATATACAAGCTCAAGCCAAGAAAGTTGGTGAGGAACCAACAGAAAGAAAAAGAAAATAGCAAAAACATGACAAACCCAAACAAACCCCATAACAGTTGCCAGTAGCAAACCTTTCCCCAAACCAGCAACAGACCTTAGACGCATTCCTTTACCTTGATATTCTCACAAAGCTCTGATCCACAAGGCAGCAGAAAGGAAACTAGTAGAAACTTTAACAACCTGCACCAGCAGCAAAAACAAGACAGCAAAAACAGCTCCTCCAATACAGCAGCAGCATGCACACCAAAACATCATTCCAACAATTGCAAAAAGTCCAAGATGCAACAACAGACTTTGCATTAACTGCAGACCAGCACCAGGAGCAGAACACATATAGCAGCAGCAACAGAGCACATATAGCTGCAGCCAATCAAGACTTAATCCTATTCCTTGATCACTCCATTCCTCACAGCAGCAACCAGAAGAGGATGGAGAAGCCACCATTCAGACTAGTGCAAAACAGATCACAGCATCCTCAGACCATGACACCCCAAAAACCAGTCCTTAAACAGGCTCAGACACCATAGTTGCTGCAGAACCAGAACACATTCATAGAAGCTGCCAGGCCTGAGACAGAACACATTCAAGCTGACATGCCTCCATGTAGACTAAAGAGTTGCCAATTATGACCATCCATATCTTCTTCTCCAATTTTGACATTTTGCAGCCATACCACCACTGCGATAGTCCATCTACCAAACCAAGAAGTGACAGACCAAATAGCAACAGCCCAAACTCACCAAATAGCAGCAGATCAAACCTACCAGCAGAACAAGAATAAGTCAGCAGATCTCACAGGACTAACCAAAAGAATCTTCTTGCAAAACTAAACTCAAACACCTGTATCAGGTGTTGCTCAAGTAGCCCAATATACCACCTACTGCAACAGAAACAACCTCTACAACGGACATCGAAGCAGTAGATGGCAGCTGAATAGGCCAAAAATAGATCCCTCCACAGCAGTCCTTTATATGATCCAGATAATTGATTAAATCCAAGACAGAGTACATGAAACCCTTTGCAGAAGCTTTAACCCATAGAGTAAATCTCAACTTAATAAGCTCACATAACTCAGACCCACTAGGCTGCATTCCATTAAATAGACAATCATTTCTTAACTTCTAAATGGACCAGAGAACAATAGGAGGTAAGGCCCTCCACCATCTCCTAACCAATTTCTTATGATTCCAACCTAACCACCAATGGAATAAACAATCAATAGACCTCGTGTCACGACCCAAACCCGCTCCTATAGGTTTAGCGTCGTAACCGGGCAGTAATCCTTGGATTACCAAAGGCCTCTTTACAGAATAACATATAATTAGGGGCTGCGGAAGCAAATAGCAATTAAACAACATCCATTGAGCTATGCAGACTTATATGAGATAGAAAAATTTTAAAACTTTATATACATACATGCACGTCATCCTTACGTCATTATATATATACAGATTAGATAAAAAGGGACTTAGCCCTATTTACAAAATACACAAGACTTGTCTAACCATCAAGAAAACAAAACCTAAACTTTGCATCACATGGCCATAGTCACTTGACATATCTGGAACCTCCACGGGAGACACATAGGTTGGCTGACAAAAACAGATTCCAGGTAGATGCCTCTAAGCCTGGTCACGCACTTGTTCACCTACATACATAAATAATACAGTGAGCTAGAGCCCAATGAATAATAACAGAGTAAAGTGTTTTAATGAACGATGTCCATATCGAATTCAGAAATCAGATTTCAAATCTCTTATCAAATCAGAAACATAGTCATGTTCATGTTCATGTTCATATTCGTATCATAAATAGAGTCATATTCATATTCATATTCATATTCAAATCATGAGTGGTACTTCCTTTAGCGTAACTTATCATGTTGGTCAAGCATATCAAGTTCTATAACGAAACCTCCGGTATCGGGTAACATATCTCATACATGGGCCACGATATTGTTTCCCCCGGGCGAGGGCCTGTGCCACGGTATTATTTCCCCCGGGCGGGGGCCTGGGCCATGGTATTAACCCCCGGGCTCGGGCCTTATGACCATAAGCCACAGTATTATGTCCCCTGGGCGAGGGCCTCTGCTAAGGATACCACAATCACGTTTCAAAGAAAATTGGACAATCATTCATTCATACAAAACATAGCATTTCAGAAACTTATCATCTCATATCATCAGAAAATAATTAAAGTTAAACATAACTTTACAGAGTTATTACTCACAGTGTTCTGGTGCTTGGTTCGTCCCTGCGCTTGACCCTACATAATTCATAACATATTGGGTCATATTACAATTCATTCCGCTCTTTAACTTGTTTAACATTCTTAGGCTCCTTTCATGTTCTTTAATTCATTTACAATGTTTAATGCATGCCTAAGAGTGCTTTGAAATGAAAGAGAACGAAAAACGAAGCAGAGAACATCCTTTCAAAATTTCTGAAACAGGGCCCTCTGCTCGAGCGGACCCCTTTGGTCTGTAAAAGTACTGGTTGCTTGCAAATTATGCTCGAACGAGACTTTTGACGCTCGAGCGAGGAGTCTAGTAAAACAGGTACGCTCGAGCAGGACTCTCCATGCTCGAGTGGACTGGTCAAATTTTGGATTTTTTCCAGATTATGTTTGAGCTTCAAAACTTGGCTCCAACCAATATAAATATTATCATAAGACTCATATTTCCACCATATAACTTCAAAGCTCATGCAAATTAATTTCCATATCGTTTTGAAACATACGTGCATGTGAAATATAGGCTTTATTCTCAACTTAAATAGTACAATTGGTGATCAACTTCATGAAATTTAACATTATCATGCTTGCATGTACCAAATAGCCCTCAATTCATAATAAAATGCATGTTTGTGTTCAAATATGCAAACTCATGACAATCCTTTACATGCATGTACACACAAATCTCAAATTCATCAAATTCAACTCAATTCATGTTCTTCATATCAAGCCCAATTCCAAATTCACATATTCTAAAACTTGAATTGAGCTTTCAAAATAATTTCAAAACTTGGGTTTATACATGGCTTGTCTAAAACATGCAAACTCTTGAATAATCAAGAAAATATGATCCATTTTAAATCATTTACATCAAAACTCCTTTAATTATAAATTAAGCTCATTGTTCATAAACCCATAAATTTCCAAAGCTTAATTTTTATTTCATCAAAATATGAAATCAATTATTAGAAATTCATGATGCATGTAAATTTACATCTCATATATATATATATATCAAGGTTTCCAAACCCAAGCTCAATTGAAGAATTATAATTATTTCCATATTGATTAATCTTAACCGTGTTCATGAATTAATCCTTTAATTTCTCCAAATTACATGCATGTAAAAACAAGACTCAAATTCATGTAAGACATGCAAAATCAAACCCAAAGTAACTAATTTCTAAGTTGATTTCCTTAATCCTTAACCTAACTCATTTGTATGGGTCAAATCTTTAATAAACCCTTGTTGCATGTAATTTATAGAACTTAATGCAAGAATAATTCTCCAAATTGAACCTAAACTTAATACAACCCAACATAACTCAACATGATTCAAACATAACTTAATTCAACATAAGTCAACATAACTTAATTCAACAACACTATTGGCACTTCAACGTAATTCAAGATAAATTCTTGAATCCCATTTCAACATTCTATAACCAAATTTATGTCGTCCATATCATTGACATATCTTTTCCTCCAAATTTCATTTCATGTTATGGCATGATTTACGTTATCCATAATAAAGGTTCAATTGCTAATTTTTAACATAATTTCAAATATTTTCAAAATACAATTAAACTTGTATATATATAATTCAACCTCTCAATTTCATGATTTTACTTTCAATTTGGGCAAAATCATTAATTATCATCATGACTCAACTTAGGGTTTTCAAGGAAAATCAAGACTTTCAAGAAAAATTGAAACTTCTCACACTACTTCTTTTTATTCCAATTTTTCCCATTGATTAAACACCCAAGGTTCATAATCCATAATCTTAACCCAACAATTGAATCCTAACACTACAATTTCCATGATATAACACTATATGCTAAAAATGTAGATTTTGCCTTTGTATAATCAAAATACCACAAATCTATCTATTAATGCAAATATTGAAGAAGAACTAGGACCCCTACCGCAAGAATCGAGCAAAAGAGCAAAGCTTTGATGAGATTCCTTCACAAATTCGAATTCCAATCGGGAGAACATGTTGATCTTCGAGCCTCTTCACTTTCTTGTAAGGGATTTCGTCCAAAACTTAGAGGAATGAAAGATATTTGGGGTAAAAAACCTAGGGTTTTCGGACTAAGGGTGAGAGAAATGAAGAGAGGAGATGGAAATGTGAAGAATGGTCTAGAAAAATGCCTTTAAACTTGCTGAATTCGCGTGGTCAGCTCGAGCGTCTCTTTTCTCGCTCGAGCGTACCTGCTTCCCGCACAGATTTCAAAACTTTAAACGGGTATAACTCTCTCATCCGAACTCCGTTCTAGTGTCTAAATCGAAGCCCCGAAAATAAGCTTTCCAATGGTTCTAGCCTCACACCCAAATTCAAAGTGTGGAAAAAGAAAAGGGCAAAAGAGTGACGAATGTTCGTAGGAAAAATTATCCGAATTAAATTCTTGGTTCACTTCTACTTTACC